CTATTGCGGGATCTTTATTGGAGGCAATGATACATGTATCGTCAGCAAATGTCGACACGCTTGTTCCGGAGTATAAAGGAAAATCCGCTGTAAATATAAGAAATAGAGTTGGAGGAAGGACGCTTCCCTGGGGCACTCCAGAGAGGATCTTTTTTTGGTCGACTCCTCGTTGTTAATGCTGACGAAAAATTCTCTATTTTCAAGGAACGATTTTATTATTGAAAATATCGGTTCTGATAAACAGAGTTTTAGTTTGTACAACAAACCAGTGTGCCATACCTTGTCAAATGCTTGCGCAACGTCTAAAAATACAGCCGAACAATATTTTTTTGCATTTTTGATTCGTTAATTATATTTACTAGGCGATGAACCTGTTCTATGGTTGAGTGTTGTTCTTTAAAGCCGAATTGGTGATTTGGAATTAGGTTTTGATTCAACAATTCTGACTTAATGCGTTGGAGTAATAATTTTTCAAATACAAGGAAGTAGGCTTATTGGTCTATAGGAAGACAATAAATGAGGATCTTTTCCAGGTTTACGTATAAGAATTATTTTAGCTATTTTCCAAGCTTGAGGAAACACTTTTAATCTAAGAATTGAATTGAATATTATTGTTAATAATCTAAATCCCTTTTCTGGCAGTTCTTTTATCATTTTTATCGTAATTTTATCTGGCCCAGGAGATTTATTAGGATTTGCAACCTTGACATAATTTTTCAATTCGGTCACCGTTAGGCGTTTTACGATTTGGCCTTCTTAGATAGATCTTTGGATAGATTCATTCTGTAAACAATTGTAAATAAAATCTTCATCGTTTACGTTGCAACTGCGGGGATGAGGCTGGAATGTATTTTTCACGTGTTCTGAAAATTCTTCCGATTTTTCTCCTGAACTTCTTGCCCAAGAACCATCAAGTTTACGCACTGGAGGTATATGTACTATCGGCCTTTTCAATCTCTTCGTTGCCTTCCAAAGAGAATAATTTGTGGTTTAGTAGATGGAAGATTAGTTAAATAGATAGATAGCGCTTGAAAATATTTAATATCTTTAGATGTAACAAAGCCTCCAACAAATTGTAAAAAGAATTTTGAGTAAAACCTTTGTAAATATTTAAGGGTTGTTATTGTTAAGAAAATTGCAAAAACAAAAAAAAATTTTTTACTCATTACAAAGTTCACTTCAATATGAGTGTAATAAAAAAATAATACTGATCGGATCAGCACATCCAGAGATAATTAATTTACCGCAGATGATGTTCATAGAAATTGAGCAAAAAATCCATATTTCAATCGTAAATATTTACGTAAGAAATTTTTTTTCAGCAAAATCCTGAAATACGTGTCAAATGATGTTATGAATAGTATCTGTAAACAAATTTTCAGACAATTCTAAAATGTCAAGGTTAATTAGTGTCCGGTTTGTAAAAGAATGACCCATTATAAACGAATACATAAGTTGTTTGTAGAATACGCTCTTCGCCCAATTTAATAAGCACTTTTAAGTTTACAGTATGTATTTATAATGAATAATCTATTTGAAATTATTCAAAACAATTATTGATTATTTTCATTTCTCGAATGTTTAATTACGGAACGGGAAGTTCCAGCAATTTGCCTTAAGGCACGATTCCATGCGCACTAGTTTAAGTTAAAATCCTAATTTTGGAATCGATCGAAAGGAACATTTTGTTGAATAATTTATTTAGAGTTGTAACAGACAACAATTTAAACTAGTTGAAAGTGGCATTTAGCTATAAGGAGATATACAGTAGGCCCTCGCTTTACACGGCACTTTGGGTACACGGTTCCCATACTACACGTAGCTAAAAATCCGACATCCCTCCGATTACACGGACTTCCTATTACACGGTTTTTGTTCAAAAGCGCATAAATTCCTTGCGCAACCTATGAGTGATTATAGGAACTTGATATCAAAAGGGTATTAATGTAAATTTTATTATCGACTTTTATCTTTTAGACATGCATGATTATTATATAATAGCTGCCTGAGAACACGCTTGAGCTGACTACTGCTTGGCGCCAATTTTTGAATAAGGTGTCAATGTCATACATGTCATTTCGTCCGTATTACTCCTACTTCAAGTTGTATTTCTTGGTCTCCATATAGCACGATAAAAATGGTGCGATTTGTACCAACTCTGAGTCTCTCATAGCGCGGTTCCCATACTGCACTATGTAAGGTTCCATAAAACGCACTACGAATTAGCCTGAATTGTATGTTAAATACGAGTTTTTTATAGCACGGTCCCCAACTGCATGGTACGCACTTGCCGCGTAAAGGGTTTACTGTATACAGTTAGAAGTCCGAAAAAGAGCGTTATTTTGGGATTTTTTCTGAAAAAACTATTCAATCTATTGATCGAAATTTACACACATATATAGGGATCTTTTAATTTTATATTAAAAATAATTGCAAGCAAAATTTAATATTTAGAAAAAAAGTTATAGCAGATTTCCAGAAGCACATCTCAAGAAACACGTTTTGCGCATTTTCTATCTCTACAGTAAATCATCTGAAATTAAAAAACCAAAGAGATTTTCCTAAAGTAATAGGTTTTTGCCGAAATTTTGACATTAAATTATTTATAAAAATATCTATCGAATCAGAAATTACTAAATAATATATTTAAGAAGCTCGTCTTAAAATTTGAGATTAATCGGTTTAGCCGTTTTGGAGTTATGTTGGTTACCAACGCGTTCAAAATTTGGAAAGCAAATTACAAGGGATAAATTTTTCTTTTCAACTTTCATGGAGTCATCTATTCCAGGATATGAAAGAACCCAATTCGGAAACTTCTAATAGCTCGAACTGGTGTTGTTTGCGAGCTATTCTTTCATCTCGGGTGCTCTCCCGCGGTCGACGATCTGAAACTGTCTCGCGCATCTCATCTTCTTTTTCGGCATATAAATGCAAATGCAAATTGTAATTTATATTGCCATCCAGTGGCGTCGGAAGCAAATTTTTGATGGGTGGGCTCGCGGGCCTGTGTGGGCTTGTTTTTCTTTTTAAGACATTTGAGACAGTATCATATTTAGTGATGCCATTCCTTCACTAAATATATTTCACATAGTCAGAAATTGCTTTATACACTCTTATGAAATTTAGAATGCAATACTAAACAGTCAAATCACATGTAACTAAGTTTTCCCATTGTTTTTTTTTTAATTTTTTAAACTATGAAAATATTCAGAATGATATGAAATTTTCAGTGTGTATTTTTAAATATATGTACATTTCTTTTTCAAAATCCTACTGTATAAAGCCCCTTAAGACAAGTTGCATTAATTTAAAAATTTCATTAAAATTAAAATTCATACAAGGATTTAAAAGCGGAAAAATCGTAAATAAATCGTAAGATTTTTATTCACTGTCTGTAACTACGGCTAAAGTTAGAAATAATTTAAAACAAACTAATTTTATTGTATCCTTAAATAGTACAAGGTTGGCAACTGAGTGCGGTTTTCACTCTTATTGTTAGATTGCTTCAAATAAATCTTTAGGTTTGCTGAGGTAGTCTAAATGTAAAACACATTTTTTATTGTTTAAGTAAGAAATTCAGCTGTCAATTAGTAGAAAATTCTTTTTTGATAGTTACTTAGTTTTCGTTTGGCGTTCATTGAGAGATGAAAAATCAAAACAAACATTTTTAGCATATATTGAATTGCAAAGGGAGAAACTATGCTCCCAAAGTGCTGCTTATGGTGTCGAAGCCTTAAGAAACAGCTATGTCAAAATTGGTTTAAAAAGTGCCATTCTGGTGATTTTTCTGATAGTTCTTCTCTGATAGTCCAGTTAAAGTCGTGGACAACCTAATAAAAGCAATAATCGATTCAGCTAATAGAAACAATGTGGCTCTGTGTAAAAATTATTAGGGGATTGGTTGAAATGTTTCTTCTCATCCATAGTCCTGCCCATAAACCATCTGATTAAAACTCTAAAAAAACATAATGATGACAAATTGTGCCTAATTCAGGTTCTGCTAATGAAAACTAGAAGTTTTATAAACATGGGATAATGACTTGTTAAAGGAACAAAGTTATTTAATTGCACGCAAATATTGTCTTTGATTTTCTAAAAAAAATGAGCACTTACTTGGTTCACAAATTCCTAACAAAAACCGCGCGCTTCACTTACTTAGTTGCCAACCTTATAACTACAAATTTCCATTCCGGTTTAAAAATAATACTTTAGAATTATATATAATTTTGTTCTGAATTGAGAGAATGTCAACTAGCTAAGTAGACACGTTCAGAACTGGCTTTATGTAACGTAATTTGAGAAAGAACTTTAGGCAAGGTGATTTTTTGTAATGTGGTCCTTGATGCTTTTTCGGTTTGCATTAGGGTATAGGCCATGTGGCTGCTGGAAGTGATTGCGTTTATTAGTGCGCAACCAACATGCACAGGTGCGATTTCATTATTTGAAAGCATTTTAGTCCGTCAAATTTTCATTTTTTTGACTTTGAATAGATTTACCAGGCTCACATTTTTTGTTGCCAGACATTAAAGCCAGACGCTGTTAAATATATTGGAGGCGCCATTATATTTTTGTTTTTTTTTTAATTCAAATCATTTTAGTCTGTCTGCAATTTTAATATTATATTCATTAAGGGTAACAAACAACAAAATTAATTTGCAAGATGTTTCTGTGGATGTTAAGCATGCCTGAAAATGAAAAATGACTGGCGATATGATACTAGTAGACAGAGTGAGACAATCGTCAAATACATTGGTATGAATGAAATAAACAAGTATTATACCCGTAAGAGCACATAACATATACTAGTCAAAGATAATGCAATTTCAATAATGACATTTTCATAAAACAAATATTGTTTTTTTTAGCAACTCATTTTTTGTTCTAACTTTGGCATGTATGTAGCAACTACATAATTTTCTGTTCTAACTGTTAAATATTTTATTCTATTGTTTTGTATATTGACAGGCAATGATATGAATAATATAGTTATTTTAAATCACCTGTTGCTCCTGTAAATCGAGTACTGATTAATTCGCTGCGATTTGTCAAATTTGTATCACAAGAGGCACATGAAAACAACCTTGTGCCACCAATGTGTTCTACAAATATTTTTCCCATAGTTTCAATTGCAAACAACTCTAAACTGAAAAGTATACAATTCAAAAAATTTATTTATGACCATATGTCTATGTACCTACCTTTAGTACTTAAAAATATTTTGTTGTCAAACAGCTGTCAAAATCAATAGCCTAAATTCAAGATGACGCTATATAGATTTCTGTATTGCCCTATAATTAATACTAAATATGCAATGCAGATGGCTTCTGGAATTTTCAGAGCCAGTTTGAGATTCACATGAGCTTATACTTGTTTATCTATGACTACAATGTTCCTTTTTGGGGTGTGAAGTTTGATGCATTATACGTCAGAAGTGTTTCACATTCGCTGCAGAGTTGAATGGGATTTTAGCGTTATTGGGTTCGTTCCATCCGAGCAAATCTGACAGTCCGAAACTGTTTCAAACTAGACCAAACTCTTTCTGATTTTTTTATGGCAGTTGGCAATGGTTTGGTTTGGATACATCCAACGCGTTCGAACCCGGAGCTCACTCGATAATAATAATAATTATTATTTTAATACATATATATATATATATATATATATATATATATATGTGTGTATATATTAGACATATTCTAATAAAATATTACTTAATTATCAATGAATTTGCTTTTTAATATTTTCTAGTTATATATCGTTATGTCGCTTTTAATCTAATATTCTACAATATTTGGACTCCTGTAAATTCATTAAATTTTTAATGTTCTATTTGAGATTAAATAACATTATATTTTAATCGTATTAAATTGCGGAGTTTTCGTTTGTGCCGAATACAAACACAAAATGATAGTTTCAAACTCATCGGACTGCTTGATGGAACGCATTACTGACAGTCCGCAACAGTTTGGAATCCGAAATTTTGGATGGAACAGAAAAAAGTGTTCTGCGCATGCGCGGACAGTTCCGGACTGTCAGATTGGCTCGGATGGAACGAACCCATTATGTTTTATTTTGTGTGTTTTTCATGCTATGTGTTCGTCTGTTCGTCTATTCTCCTGTCTATTCTTTTCCGGTGTTTTTTTGCTACCTCGTTTTTTAATTATTTTGTGCGTTATTAATACGGTTTTAGTATAATTTTCTTGTGAATCGTGTGTTGCTCGTCATTATTATATTAACATTTATTTTTTTAATTACTAAGTTTATTATTTTGTTCATATTTTTATAGGTTAAGGTCTTTTTCTTTGTTTTTACGTGTTTTATAGGTTAGGGTTATTATATTACTATTTATGTTCTAGCTATTTTACACTTTTTAGATAGCTTTAGAAGTAGGTATTCCTGCATTATTTTATTTTTAGACAAATATATAAGGTACGTTTTAATCACTTAGGTTAGGTTGCATTTCAATTCATAGCTAGGTTACATTTAGGTTAGATTTCATTTCATTTAAGAATTTTATATATATCTCGTTAGTTGATTCCTACGTTACTTTTAGCTCATATTATAGGTTTAATATTTTAGTTCATATTTCTTTTTTATACATAAGTTATCTTTTAATCATAGCTTAAGTTAGTTTAGGTTTATACTATAATTCAACCCCTTTCTTTTTTATATTCAATATGAAAAAGCAAAACCAATGTATCCATTGCTTTAAAACTTTTGCTTCCACTAGTTCTCTTTGCCGTCACAACAGGTTAGTACATCACATACAGCCTAAGGAGTACTTTCAAAAACTCTAAACTCCAATGCACGTATTTTTATGATTCCCGAATTAATCCAGAAACATCCCTTGCGCTGCATTCTTATGCTCTACCCTCTTCATTAATTCCTTCCACTACTTCTTATTCATGTACCCTTACTGCTTCACAAACTTCTTACACAACTCTTCCTGCTTTGCCAAATCCTTCTACATCATTTCCTTCTTCACCAATACCAACGACATCTTTCCATTCATATGCTCTTCCTGCTACATCAATCCATACGACATCCTTCCATTCATATGCTCTTCCTGCTTCACCAATTCCTACAACATCCTTCCACTCGGATGCGCTTCCTGCTTCACCAATTCATATGACAACCGCTAATTCAAATACTGTTTCCTTTATTCGACAACCATCTTCCCCACTACTTTCCCAATCATCCAGATCGCTCCAGTGACCCCAACGCAACCCAGACCCCAAGATAATGCTTCGCTGTACTCAGAACATTTTACAGGTATTAAAATATAAGTATTATTTAAATATATTTAATATTACATCCACAAAGTTACCATAATTGTTCATTTATAGGTTCTCCAAGGGTTCTCAGAATTACTTGCCCCATTGAGGATTGCGGGAATGCTTACACATGGTACAGCGCACTACAAAAACATATTGAGTGTCATCATCACATCAATATTGAACACAAAGACAAACTGTTTTCTTCTATTAATGGTTTGTCAACTTTTAATTATGAAGATTTTCAACAAACATTTCTATAATTTCATCTTTTGCTATAGATTTTTACAGCTGGAAAACTGAGATGGAACAGAACAGTATTCCGTCATATGTGAAGGACACTGCAGCATACATAACAAAAGACAATTGCTGCACCATTCAATATTATAATTGCCATTGATCACACAGTTACCAAACAAAGGAAACATGTTTGAGGGGTAGCAAAAAAACTGGCCATGCTTGTCCCTCACGAATTATGTGCAAGGTGTATAATGACGGACATGTTGAAGTTGATTACTGGAAGACACATGTGGGACATGAAAATTTGATAAAATATGTGCGGCTGGATCAAAATTTGATCAGAAACATCAAGGGTATAATTAATTTATTTTCATAAATGCAATAATCACATTGTTGTTAGTTCTTTGCCATTTGTAATATATTTTTTCCAGATCAAATTAAAGCAGGCGTAGATGATGACTTTATTATAAAAAACATACGTGAAGATTGTTATAACAAAAAATTACTGAGACCACTGAGAGCTTCCATGATAACGAAGAAAGATTTATGGAATATAAAAAGGCGGGTGTTACCACCAAATGATACCTTTATAAATAAAAATGATTCAAGAAGTGTAGCCGATTCTTTGCATTTAATGCTGTAAATAATTTAATTATCTTCATAATTAACTATTATTGATGTTTGCTTTATTTGCATAATTCATTTAAAGTTATGCCATTCATTCAAGTTATGGAAATGTGTTTCAAATTGTAAATATCTATACATTATATAGCCTTGCCAGTATCATAACACACTGCTTATGTGTGCATTTTTGTATCTAACGACAAATAATTTAATTATGTTAATTAAATGTGATTGGTATTTGATTTATTTGCATAAATATATTTATTATACCATACTTTAACAATATTATGGAAATAGGTTTTAAATTGTAAATATACATATATTAATATGTTCTATAATTTCAATAAATTTTTATTATTATAAATGAATAGTTTTTCTTCTTTTATAAGAAACAGTATATTTTTGATAAAAAAAAACAATGCTAAAGCTTATGTTAACGCATTAATCTTTTATTTGTTGACCAAAATTAGGTTCAATTTTTCAATAACATACGTACTGTTAATTTTATAAAAAGGTTGGAAATAATTTCAAATGCCTGAACAAAACTTAGTGGCACCTTACAGAACTCCATCTAATTGATTGAGAATTTAACAAATTTCAGCTATATAAATGCACGTCACAACTATTTCGACAGATTATTATTCACATTTTTATATGACAAGAACTTTTTCGGAGAAAACAGTTGTACGTTTATTTAACTTACTGAATAAAACTTCTTATATAAGTACTACATTTTACCACTTTCAGACTTAATATGATTATTACTATATACTATGACAGTACTAAATCCTCTACGTAATATTATGATCGTAGAGAAAAATTAAATATATATAATATATTGATATACATTAATATATGAGAACTGAAATTAAATTGTAACTGTCACATTGACGTCTATGAACTGTCATTATGCACTAGGATTATTTACACTTTTATATTGGTACGCCTGCTTTGTTTGTCACCTGTTCATGAAGTATATTGTCGTGTCAAAAAATGGCCGCCAGTGACTGGATGAGGAACCGTGTGTGTGTTAAAATGATGTGAAGTTAGCGGCAACTAATATCAAGTCTGTCTCCATAGATAAACAAGTATAAATAGATCGCTATGTCTGGCGATTTGACGTTACCTCGATTGAAATGCAAAATTTTTAAAAATAGATGGCAGCACATGTACAATATTTAAACTAACCCCTGGTCTTACTTCTAAATTTGTACGTATCGTATACAGCCCAAAAAAAAAAACAGAATAATTTTTAATATTTGAAATAAGAACAAATCATACGAAATACAAAATATATATTTTCAAATATATTACATATGTTTAAAGAACAATTAAAACTATGTTTATGTTAACAATTATAATTACAGTTATGGAATGTTTGAAAACATAATAATTATTATACATAATTACAAGTATTATAATTCAATAATTATGCATAAATAATATCTCAAAAACTGAAGATCTAAGTGGAGAAAACCACAGAAGTATTTAACTAAACTAAGCAAAACTAACTGACTAATATTAATTACTTAAAGACTAATATTATTATATTAAAAACTTAAAAACTAAAAAGAAACTAAAAGCACAGGAGCACACGATGAAATGATAAATTTAGAAGGAATGACAAATAATACAAAAATTTAGAAGGTTAAAAATAATAGATAATTTGTTAAAAAGTACAATAGTTCTCAAACAAAAAAGTTCTAAAAACATAAAATATATGTCAATTGCAAAATTGAGAGAAATCCAAATTCCTAGGATTAAAACTCATTTACGAGACATTGTTCTTTATTAATTCTGCATCTAATAGTTATTTTGCTATCTAATGAATTAATAGTAAAGTTGCATTTAATGAAACCTTTGAATAGTTTCTGTATGTCTGTTTTATAATATTACATTTATTTTCTGATTCTGATTTTGTTCTGAAACAATAGGCCCTGATCCCGCCCCCATCGCGTTTGCAATCAGCACGCGAGTATGTTTTCTGTTGATTACTTAAAAGGTGCATTTTTAGCTCATTTTTGTGTTTTTAATATATGTTATCAGTTACATTTTGTTTTTTAAGCAGGCCACATAGTTTTAAATATTTTATTTCGAAGGTAGGACTACATATTGCGATTAGCAATTTTTATCAAAGTTAGGATTGCATATTACTTTTTTCTTATTCTAAGCTTTTATTCCATACTTACAAAGATTAACTTTACTTTTAGTTAGGTATTATTCTATATATGGTTAGCTTTTTATTCTATATCTAGTTATAGAATAGATTTTTATTTCATAGATATATGGAAGGTGAAGTTGTTATATATAATATATATATATATATATATATATATATATATATATATATTCAGAAACTCATATATGTATAGTATACTCTAGCGAGAATAACTTCTTATGGAGCTAGTTGTAGTATGTCATATCATTCATATTCAATATTGATGAAGGTTATATGTTTGCAACATTTGATCACAATCGCAAAAACAAATACTGAAAAAAAATAGAATTCTATTTTTATTACTTAAGTAATTCTCAATACTTCCGGAGAGTCTCGCAATTGGATTTAATATTTTCAGAAGAAATACAAGATATCTTCTCTGTAGTCATAAAAATATTAGTGATCGATATTGTAAGAACTGAATAGTATGGTAGATACTAATAATATTGTGATACCCTGTAATTGGCATCACAATATTCACTGTTCATTTCCTCAACTTTTCTTCGTTAATATTAAATACTTTATGACTAATTAAAAATATATCATAATTTGGGCTAAAAGGGACTAATATTCTAAGATACTCGCTTGATAAAATGCTTTTTCAAGATAAAATATCTAGATTTACCCTGAACGAGGCTTCAATAACAATACCTTACTTCAGAATTCAGCGTATCATCTCTTGCTACGCGCTACACGTCGTTTCACTGATAGTATTTTGTTCCTGTATAAGCTATGTAAAAATGCTATAGCTTGTCCTCAAATTCTTGACCAACTATCTTTAACATTTCTAGACTCTCCTCACAAGACTATTAATCTCACCTATAGGGCTAATGCCCTCTAATTTCAACTCAATTAATTAAGATATTGTAACGACAATTAGCATTGTCGTCAAAGATTTGCACAACAACAATGGACTCTTCCACCTACTTCTACCAGGGTTCCTGCAATATAAAGTCCAAGTCGAGGGTTGAAAATGGCATTAGAAAATGTAACATCCTCCGAGGAGGTCGGTCGGGTCTCTGGACCCGCTTTGTGTATAGTGGTGTGTGTGTTGTGCCAGGAGAGGAGAACCTGTTCCAGCAAAAGTCAGATGTATTAATATTTAGTAGCTATTCTCTCCAATACTCCGTCAGTTAAGTTAGTCCGTTCGTTACGTTACTCCGTTAGTAATTAATAAAGATTTATCAGTACGTTAGAGCTCAGGCATAGGACATGGCTGTACTTAGGTACAGTCATGCCCTCAGATATGTAATCATAATTAGTTAAATTAAATAAGCTAAAAGTACATTCTGTTTCATTCGTGTTGGTTTAGTTTCCACAGGTCATTACAATGCTAAGATATAATATTTGGTAGTCGTTGCAACACCCAAGAAAGGGGCCATCAACCCTAACTCGTCACAATATCAATATTTACAATATATCAGTAAAACAATTAATAACCATCTGTACAAGTTAATCTGATATTTTTTCGCGAATATGTTATTTCCATCATATACGAGTATAATTTAGTTTTATCGTTATAACGGTATATATTATTATAATTTAGTTTTACCGTTATAACGGTTTATATTATTATAATAATTAGATAGTTTTTTATTTTATGTTATGTTAAAAAATCTATTATGTTGTATGTATTATTAAAATTGTATTTTTAAGTCATCCTGGAGCTACTCTGCGGGAGTTGATTAACCTACGGGTAGTTATAAGTGTTTAAAATTATATCAAAGCATTATTTCATACATACATAATTATATCAAAGGTTTATAATCCAGAGTAGTGTTGCCCATTTGTAAATCTTTTTGAATATCTTGGATTAATTTTCCTCGTTTATTTTTAGCGCAGAATCAAAAAATACACATAGTTAAATTATTCACATGCATAAATGATAAAATATACTTATTAAGCCAACTAATTTACTGTTGTAAATAACGTAAATAACTCGAACGATTAACAGGAAAATCTTACAATCGTATTCTACTTGCTGATGCTTTTTATACAATTCAATTACCATCATACATCTGCTATTTGCATAACACAGCAACGCGTGATAGAGTACAGAAAAGTTCCAGCAACTTGCCTTAAGGCACGATGCCATACCCCGTAGTTTTCCATTTTTCTCGATGCAATAAGCTTGGAAGTGCACAAATCCTTCATCTAAGAAGGAGGGCTCGAGATCTGAAGTGTACATTGATTCAAATTTACGTTCAAAGAGGGAGGCAAGGGACGAGCGTGATGGCACTGTTATGAAATATCGCTCGGCAACCCCTCGCTCATAATGCATTAAAATTAACGGCGCAAAATTTGAAATAAAAAATAATGAATTTTATTAATTGGTTATTTGAACCCAAATTTTGCTTTACAATTGTATTATGTTTTATATTTCTATAATTATATTTCTTGAATTAAAAGATGTTATTAGGAAGAATTAGTTAATTATATTGTACAGAATTTTTTTCTCACTTTCCAAATTTAGCCACAGAAAATTTGCCACCCTAGCCCTGCTGTAAATCCAGCATTGGATACAGCTAGTGTATTATAATATCATGTAACATAGGTAAATAGATATTAAATATAAATTAATATTAACTAATATTAATATTAGTTGTGGTTTGCTACCGTAGAGCCCAAATTTCACCACTTTGCGAATCACTGCTTTATACCTAATTAAAGTACCTAATACCTTTATACCTTATTAAAGTACCTAATAAAAATGAACAAATAAAACAAATTTTTTTTTTTTTTTAATCAGTTGCATTAAATAAAATTTCTGTTTATTATATAATATATTATATATTCAGTTCTAAAACCATCATATGCATAGTTCATAATAATAATAATTCATAGAATTAATAATAAGTTATATGGGCATTTCAAAATTAAAACAAAGTTGCTTACAAATTAGGTGTATCATATAAGAGATTCTATCTTACATATAAACATACATTACAAAAAATATTGGGTTAAATCACTTTTTCCACATATAAATGCTTTAAAATATTTTTATTTACAAAGATTTATTTAAAAATTATTAATAAATTTATGCCATAAATAGATAATTTATTTGATATAATTATCAAATAAATTGATATTTAAATAATTAAATAAATACCTTAAAATATTCCTTATTAAGATCGGAAAATATAAAATTTGAAAACATTCACTTATAATATAGTTTACTTTCTTTCCTTCGGTGCAATGAATGCACTTTTACGTGCACTGATAATTATTTGCGCATGATTTTGTTATTCAAGTTTCTTGTTGCCAACAAATATTACTTGAACATACATACAATAAAATATATATATATAATTAGAACAAAAATTGTATCTACGTTATTTCAGCAGATATAATACCAAGGTATTTTCTATATTCTAAAGAAACATAATATTGCAAGGTGAATTGCAAATAATCTAAATAAAATAAAAAACTAATATAACAATCATATCTCCTAGTCTGTTCAATAATTTTCAAAAATTCTGGGCTTTAAAATTTTTCTATTATAAAATTCATAATATGATGTCATTTACTCTAAATAATTAAAAGCGGCTGCAATTCAACCATCATTTATCACATATAAAAAAGCGAAAGTTTAGTTGAACTGGATGTATATAAAATGAATTATAAGTATATCGTTAGGTATAGGTAGTAATTCATATTGTTTTAGTTTAAATAGAAAAAAAAATTACATGAAAATCACTCAAACATTTCAAATAAAACTAAATTTGCACTCACACTCAAGTAAAATAATTATAAAACTTACTAAGCAATAATAATCCATTATCACAGGAGAATATAGTTATGAATTGTTGATGTTCAAATTAATAGCGAAATAACTGCAGGCAATAAATATCTTAAAGCGCATGCAATTAGTTGATCAATCAATATAAACTAAGATATTCGTTTAAATTCCTTAAAAGAATGGATAATACTAATACCAGAAATGGGAATGTGCGATAAATAAATACAATATGGCCAGCTTACGTAAAACAGTGGTTATGGACAATGAGGTCGTCTTGACTTCTTGGGTTCATCACCAACGACATGGCTTACTTCCGTATATCGCTCACCCTTTAAAGAAACTATTTTATTGTCACGATATCGCACCAGTTTCTTCGGCTCGTACTTCGGCGCCACTGGATGATGCTCCCGAAGATCGGAACATTTGTCAACATAACTGTACCTGAAATAAATTTTTTTTATCTTAAATTAGAGATAGTTAGTAGATTTAAGATTAGATTAAAATGAAAGTAAGTTAATAAATTAATAATAGTGATTCGAATGGAATATTACAGAAGCTACATTTGAATGCGTTATAATAAATGTGTAATACTGAACATACGTATGATTTTAGATCTCCAAATAAATATACACACGCAATCATAAAGAAGTTTTAAAAATAAATTCATGATGGGACATTTTGTTTGATTGGAAATTTAGAATAGTTAAATTGTAGCCTGTTCATTTTTTATGATTTTTTTTAAAATTATTTTCTGATCAATACTTAACGTTTATTGTTTAGTATTGATCATGACTGTTACACATAATCTCAGCTTTTATTTTGTTTTTGTTTTAGAGGTTTTATAACTTCTTATATTTTCTAGAATTTTCATAAAAATAATATATTAGGACCGCAACTATGTTCTCGCTGTTTGTCAGTATATTTGGCTCTAGCAGTAAGGGTTGGTCGATTCTGACAAATCCAAAACGTCATGAACCAAGCTTAGACATATGGTAAACAAACTGCAGAGACACATAAGTGATTTCGTTTTTGCATTATATACTTCTGGTTAAGTGAAAATGCATAATTTCATGCCAAACACTCGTCATTTGCGGGAAGTGTTGATTTTCTTCTTCCATTCGAAAAAAAATGGCAGCTCAAGTGCATCGAGAAATGCTACGGAAATGCTGCTTTGAGCGAAACAACATGCCGTGATGCCGATGCCGTGAATTTCGTCGCTTCAAAGACGGTGATTTTGATGTTGACGACCGCCCTCGTGAAGGAAGGCCCAAAACCTTCAAAGACACTAAATTGAAGGCCTTGCTCGAAGAGGATTTGTGCCAAGCTCAAGAAAAGCTTGCTTCAGAATTAGGTGTTACCCATCAAGCTATTTCCAAGCGATTGCATGCGTTGGGGATGATTTAGAAGCAAGAAACTTGAGTTCCTTATGAGTTAAAGCCAAGAGACGTCGAGCGTCGTTTTTTCGCCAGTGAACAACTGCTGCAACGGCAAAAAAGGAAAGGTTTCTTTATCGCATCGTGACAGGTGATGGAAAAAGAAAATATTACAGCAATTCAAAGAGGGGAAAATCTCGGCTTAACCAAATATTTACTGCGAGGGTTTACTTTGCATATGGTGGGACCAGGTCCGTGTTGAAACCGAGCGAAATCATCACTGGAGAACTGTATCGAATTCAATTGATGCAATTTAGCCGAGCACTGTTATGTTTTCATAAAAAAATCCGATTTGCTAATTTTATGTTTTCTCGACGTTTTAAGCCAGTATGTGTGTGCGTGTGTGTGCGCGTGTATGTGAACAGATTTTTTGTCGTAAATCGACGTTTTCTCAAAAACGGTTCGACCGATTTCAAAAATTTAAAAGCCATTCGATGTATTTCGATGAGGACTATCGTTTCTTTGTGCGACGATCGTCCAAGCCGTTTCTTTATAAATAGCAGAAAAGTGAAAAAAATTTCGTCCACGTTTTAGCCCATTGTATAAATTTTTGCATATATTATATTTATGATTTACCCCATTGTATAAATCTTTGTGATTTCATTCTTTTTGCGGATGACACCAGCGTTATCATCAAGGCCAAATCTCTCAATGAATTACAACATAAATTAAGCGTGGTTATGTCAGAAATAACGAAATGGTTTTGTGAAAATAATCTGGTCCTCAATAATGATAAGACCCAAATCATATCTTTTTGTATAAAAACTCGTTTATCCAATAATATTACTTCTTTAACCATCAATAATTCAGAATATAATTTTTCGCAAGTATCAAAGTTTCTTGGTATCCATATTAATAATAATTTAAAGTGGTCTGATCATCTCTCTATTTCACTATCACCAACTTTATCTAGAACATGTTTCATGTTGAGCACCATAAAACCCAAACTCGGTTTAAATTGCTTACTTTCAGTTTATTATAGCAACTTTTATTCTCAAGTTTCATACGGCATTCAATTCTGGGGGTTTTTCATCGGAACTAATTAAATTAGTATTGGTTATATTCGAAAACTAATTACAAATCTTCTTTCTTCTAAATATAAATAAAGGCTAGACCTATAATCTATACTAAAATCTAGGGTCTCAAGTACGAAATTAAAAGAACTTTCGAAGAAAATATATACCTTTCTATAATTCGATTTTTTAATTCGGAGTCATCAATAGAAGCATGACAGTGCCTGTTGGTAGTCAGAGCAATTGGAACACTTCTTAGACTTTGTCCAGTTTCTTGACGATGCAATAAAATTTGCGTAGCTCTGTCTAAATCTCCACACGCGACAGTTATGCAATGCCGGACCTATAAAGTTAATATTTTTGCAACTGTTTAGAACTAATATTTAAAAAATATCAATTATACATTTTTTAGTTATTAATTTAGAATAAATTGTCACGTTATTTGTCCACGATGGACGCCTAAAATACAGACTTTAAATTTCATTTGTTCACCTTGTGCATTTAGATTCAACTTAGATGGCAAGCTATATTAAAAATCTCAATTTATAGCCGAAATATAATTATATTATATTACTGAAAATTTCAATTATTTTTGGACACTTCCACGAGAAATTATAAAATATAATTAGTTTGATCTCTGTCTGAACTGAAGACCAATAAAGCTATGCTATAGGCATGTTACAGCAGAATTGTCCCATAAATGTATTTGATTGAATATCATTCTTATTATATTCATATATTGATCAGCGTTATATTACATAATACAAATCTGGCAAAATAACAAAGTTTGTCAATTTTCTAAGAACAACATGAAACATAAATAAACAAAGCTCATAAAATAGGTTCAAGAAATTAATATTGATTTATAGTAATACAAAAGCGCTGTTTTTTTATTTATTGCTTTATTGACTTTGTTTAAGAGTAGTATTTACAATATACTTCTATACAACACATTTCCCACTATGACTACATAACATCTATACAGGTGGTTTCACAATTTTATAATAATTTTAATTTTGTCTTTGTTAACGCCACACTACTCCCAACCCTGGTCTAATTATATATTTTATTACCTTCATACAGGATAGCTATAATAAATCCTCATCCCGCATATAATTTAGAACTATTAAATAATCCCTCTCATTGTCATGCATTCTGTCCCTAAATCTATCATCATACCATTAATCCATTTTTCTAAGAATCTTTAATCACCTGTTCCTGATTGAATTCCACGTACTATGGAATCACCGGTTAATACCTGATTGGTCAAAAATGTAACGGGATGTCGCTTGAACCCACAAAAACGAACCATTCAGAAAAATCATATAAAATTGTAAAATCAATATAATTTAGTCTTAAATCAACATTCAAAGCAATAACATCTCAAATTTCATAAAACAAACTTCAGTACTAATTCAAACTTTAACTAAGTAACCTCATCTATAAGTCTTAATATTTTATTCAAATATACAATAATTAAACATTTATTATTAACTTTTAATCGGTCTGATATAGCTACTATTTAAATATATCTGGTCCTTCGACAATATAAATAAAGTGCAAGTGTATTTAATATAGTTCGGCAGTATCTCGGAGGATCACAAACTTCTATACATTTTTTGCAATCTATCTTTAAACAATTGTTCCCGGCCAAAAAGTGAACAATCTTATTGCATTTAATATAGGTATATAAGGCACCATATATTCTTTTACCAGACAACAATATTATAAAATTAGTTGGAAGGGAGATTTTTTGCCTTATTATCTTCTCATAGTCCTTGTCTACCTTTTTCTCATCCTTTACGTTCAATGATGGCGTGCTCTGCATCCGCCATAATCGCTCGACGCAAGCAATAGCAATTCTACTCAGGTGTAACGTAGCGCATGTATGGTTACATCTTAGCCTGCATATTGTAGAAAAGAACGACCAACATTCAGTAAACCTGTCATATTAATTTTTATAAAATCGTGAGTTTTCTGAAAATAGTTTGTACTAAAGTAGTGAATCTGATAGAATCTATCAAGATGTCTATAATGAAGTGAATTCTAGATGGAATGTGAAATACTTCAATTCTGGCGGAAATGACGCTCATTAAACCACATGATTTAAAAGAAAAAAACTTCGTATATGCTTCTTATTTGTATGATAGCTCACTCATTTTACACGCAAAAAACTTGTAACAGACATAAAACAAACTATAAAAGACATTTTTTTCTTATAATTAGTTCTTCTATCGATTTCCGACGTTATTTTGAAAAAATGTAATTACACAAATGAGAAGGGGTGTCATCCCCCCGGAGGGTGATGGCGCAACACGTATTGTTTTCACTTTTGAACTTGAGGGTAATATGAACCTAATCCCAAAATTTCATTCAATTCGGAGCACAGTAAAAAAATTCAGAGGTTATACCCTTTTTTCCTCTCCGTTTACTGCACTATATCATGATTTGATATGAATCACTTCTTAGATTTTAGGATAATTCATCCTCTGCAGAGATGCCTGTATTTATTGCGTCTTTGGCGCCACTATACACTGCCTCGTTGACGGCTATGCCCACATGACTTTTCACTCACATAAAATATATTTAATATAAATTATTGTGTCGCCAGTATGGACTATTTTGTATATTGCTGGTGTGTTCGACTTTTTTTATCACTTCCATGTTGTTATATTTTAGTCTATCTGTGATAAATTATATGCCAACAAATTTTTCCTTAGATGGAGAGAATATATATTTCTTCAACATGCAAAGCCCATATATTGGCGATGATAATATGACGTCCAAGCAAGATCTTGGCTTTATTCTGAAGGATATTCTATGTTTGCTTGCATCGCCATAAATGAAGCAGCAATAATCTATTTCGGATGTTATGAGCTGTTTGTGAACTCTTATGGAGACTTCCACGTCCGATTTAACACTCTTAAGATGTTCAATGTATTTTCGCATTTTCTCGATAGGTTCTTGATATGAGCTGCCCATCGCAGTTCATTATCAACAATCAATCCAAGGCATTTTGTGATTGGTTATATTTTCAGTGTATAATTATCTAATCTAATATCATTGAACGAAACCAGATGTCTTTGCTTGAAAAAAAAGTTACAGTACTTTTATTATCAGAAATAGAAAAACCCAATGCAGAACTCCAATTTCCAGTGTAAAGCAAGGTTCCAGTTATACTTATTTATTTATGGTTGGCCCATTTTACCCCAACCACATGTCAGCTTTGATAGAGATTATATACAAGATCTGTTGAAACTAAACTACACTCGAGCGTCGACAACGTGTCGACATATCTTCCTTGGTTTTTTATGCGGCTGTCGATACACAGTCGACAGAGACACATTTACTTTAAATCTGTTCCCAATTTAGTGGCATAACAGAACCAACTAGTTAGTGGTTTATATGCTCAGAATAAGGATCGGTGGGGTGGACACACATACAGTGGCATAACTATAAGGTGGCGTGGGTGGCAAAATGCCACGGGCCCCGACCTAAGGGGTCCCGGCCCAGGAAACCGAGACTCGGAAATACCTTTTTACATGGTACATAAATTTTATTTCATTTGAAACTTATATTTTATATTTTTTAAGTTAAGGTCGGAGTTAATTATTCAATCAAGCTTGCATCGAACTTACATTCGGCCGAATATTTAGTTAGTTAAAACCAAAGGAGTCGCCGTCGCACAGCGAAAGTATTGTGTTTTATCTTTTATGCGATAAAGAGCTGCGATGGATCTGCATCGGAAAATCTTTAGTTTATATAATATATCAAGAATGAATTAATGAATTTATTATTGTATATATAATAATTTATACTTTATCGACTTTTAAGATAAAAAACGAACACGTGAAGAGCTCTTTTCTCAACATCAGTAGCGTGCCTTCGCGCGGCCTCGTATCAAAATTTGTTTGGGGCCCCCTTAAGAAGAAATTTTTTATCACAAAATATAAAAATACATAAAATTAGAAGAATAGTTATTTATCATTCTAATTATTTTTCTATCTAATTTTCTATAATTTTCCGAGCTTTTCATAAATGATCCAGATAAAAATATTCTCCCCTTCGATTTCGTGTTCGACATATGCACATACCGACAATTGATAAGATTTTAATAAAGATTTCAAAGTGAAATTAACTAATCCGATAACTTTATGTGACGAATTACCTATCCCGATCACTTTGGTTGATACTGGAAGAATTTGCAAATGAGCCTTTTTGCACCAAGTTAGTTAATGTGACAAAATTTCTATCGCTTCTCAAATCAGTACGTACAGAATATTTTCTTCTTTAGTACTACTAAAACTACTAAAACATTGTTTTCACATATAATTGTGGTGTCTTAATTTTGATATGTGGGTCACATATCAAAACAAATGTTTCAAAAAACAATGTTTGCACATCTTCACGTCGAAGATTTCTGAACATTCTGAAATACAATAGAAAAAATGGATATGTGTGTCTGTGTATTTGTGTTATATTTCGTGTATGAATGTGATAAAATTTTTCGTCCACAATTTCTTGAGTAATTCAAAGAACATTCAATTCCTACTGATGTGGAGACGTATTGATTAGTTTTTAACAAAGACAGGTCGGAGATACGGAGCAAAGATAGAAACCGAGTTTTTAATGGAACGAAAAATCCGATTTAAATGATGCAAAAAAGCTTTTGCGTTTTTGGACGACAAGATCGTTTTTCAAAAAAAAAAAAATATTTTTTTAATTTTCAAATTTTTTTTAATATCGAATATTCGAATCGTATAAATAATTTTAACTTTGCGGTTCAGTTTATGCAATTCTTAGAAATAATTTTCAGGCATATTTAAACGTCATCGTCCAATTTATAAACACTTTTATTTTGTATATAAATTCGAATGTAAAAGTTACAATATTTGTAATAATATATTTGAAAGCATTCAATATTATTCGAATATTTCATTACAATACGGGAAGTTCCTGCAATTTGCCATAAGGCACAATACACCACTAGTTTTAAGAATTTAATTAATATAGTAAAACTAATAATGTCTAAAAATGTCAAACTCCATGAGTTTATACATATAACTATAAAATAAATATTTTTGCATTCAGAATTTCCGAAGACTCGTTTCGGGCGCATCGCGCACTGCTTTGCGCTCGAACCAACTCTATGCAATTGCAGGACTATTAGCGTAACGCGCGGGTGTACTGGCTCCGGTTTTTTCAATTTTTCAATGTGTTCCACAAAATTGATTTCGACAATATTGGCAGTACTCAAAGACAAAACATTAGGCTTTCGAATAACGCTAATTAGAAAGTGGTCCAACTAAACGCATTACCCGAAAACATCAATTGAAAAATTATTTTGTCTTTTTCAGCTAATAATAAACGATTTTTTGGCATCGATTGTTTCATATAGTGTGGTCTGAGTCAATGTGAGTAGAATCACGTAAAAAGTTTTTCGATATCTTCTATGGTTACGCGAAAAAGTGAGTTTGAAAGAAGGGGCTACTTTGGCATATTTTCAATGATATCTCGGCCACAAGATGAGGTACAAAGTTGAAAATCGGTATATCTGTTTTAATCATTTAGACCTATAAAATGGCGCATAAATTATTTAAATAACAGGGTGAGGCCGATTCTGTATGGCAATGCGCCCATACCCTTTGACACTGTTCAATACATGAACATAACTTCAGGATTACCTTCAATTCCTTCATTTAACTTTATAAACTAAACTATTAATATTTGAATAAAATAAACTTTAACAACTTTACAAATGTTTTTCTCTTACTACACTTTCCACTAGTTCGCTTACTACACTTTCCAACAATACAACAACAATCTGTACATCTTTTCATAATATTTATTTATTTATTCAGTCCATAATAATATCGATAATCTTGAACTGTTACCAAATGTCGTCATAATCCATAATCCACGCGTTATAAACTTTTCCAATCATATTGTTATTTGGTAACATAATATTTCGATATATAAAATAGTATATAATATAGCCTACCGCCTAAGTTGGATACAAATGCGCGCCGCGGTGAACAAATCAAATTTTAAATCTGTACAGTATTTGAGGCGTGCATCGCAGACACTAGTGTTACACTAACTTTATATACGCAGTGATACCCCGTATAACGTACACCTCGCACAATGAACAATTGAACGCGCAAAACGAACTGTTTTTTCGGTCTCGAACGTTCCACACAATGTGCTAAAACTCGTTGTCATTTGTAGTCAAAATACATATGTTGCTCAAATTTGAATTATATGTAAAAATATCTTATTTTCTATGACCACATTTCAAACTACAGAACGAATTAATTTCATTTTCATGTATTTGTATGGAAAAACACGTTTCGCATAGCGAACTTTTCGAATAACGAACTTTCTTTCGAAACAAATCAATATATATATATATATATATATATATATATATATATATATTTATTTTTTCTCACTTTCCAAATTTAGCCACAGAAAATTTGCCACCCTAGCCCTGCTGTAAATCCAGCATTGGATACAGCTAGTGTATTATAATATCATGTAACATAGGTAAATAGATATTAAATATAAATTAATATTAACTAATATTAATATTAGTTGTGGTTTGCTACCGTAGAGCCCAAATTTCACCACTTTGCGAATCACTGCTTTATACCTAATTAAAGTACCTAATACCTTTATACCTTATTAAAGTACCTAATAAAAATGAACAAATAAAACAAATTATTATTTTTTTTTAATCAGTTGCATTAAATAAAATTTCTGTTTATTATATAATATATTATATATTCAGTTCTAAAACCATCATATGCATAGTTCATAATAATAATAATTCATAGAATTAATAATAAGTTATATGGGCATTTCAAAATTAAAACAAAGTTGCTTACAAATTAGGTGTATCATATAAGAGATTCTATCTTACATATAAACATACATTACAAAAAATATTGGGTTAAATCACTTTTTCCACATATAAATGCTTTAAAATATTTTTATTTACAAAGATTTATTTAAAAATTATTAATAAATTTATGCCATAAATAGATAATTTATTTGATATAATTATCAAATAAATTGATATTTAAATAATTAAATAAATACCTTAAAATATTCCTTATTAAGATCGGAAAATATAAAATTTGAAAACATTCACTTATAATATAGTTTACTTTCTTTCCTTCGGTGCAATGAATGCACTTTTACGTACACTGATAATTATTTGCGCATGATTTTGTTATTCAAGTTTCTTGTTGCCAACAAATATTACTTGAACATACATACAATAAAATATATATATATAATTAGAACAAAAATTGTATCTACGTTATTTCAGCAGATATAATACCAAGGTATTTTCTATATTCTAAAGAAACATAATATTGCAAGGTGAATTGCAAATAATCTAAATAAAATAAAAAACTAATATAACAATCATATCTCCTAGTCTGTTCAATAATTTTCAAAAATTCTGGGCTTTAAAATTTTTCTATTATAAAATTCATAATATGATGTCATTTACTCTAAATAATTAAAAGCGGCTGCAATTCAACCATCATTTATCACATATAAAAAAGCGAAAGTTTAGTTGAACTGGATGTATATAAAATGAATTATAAGTATATCGTTAGGTATAGGTAGTAATTCATATTGTTTTAGTTTAAATAGAAAAAAAAATTACATGAAAATCACTCAAACATTTCAAATAAAACTAAATTTGCACTCACACTCAAGTAAAATAATTATAAAACTTACTAAGCAATAATCATCCATTATCACAGGAGAATATAGTTATGAATTGTTGATGTTCAAATTAATAGCGAAATAACTGCAGGCAATAAATATCTTAAAGCGCATGCAATTAGTTGATCAATCAATATAAACTAAGATATTCGTTTAAATTCCTTAAAAGAATGGATAATACTAATACCAGAAATGGGAATGTGCGATAAATAAATACAATATGGCCAGCTTACGTAAAACAGTGGTTATGGACAATGAGGTCGTCTTGACTTCTTGGGTTCATCACCAACGACATGGCTTACTTCCGTATATCGCTCACCCTTTAAAGAAACTATTTTATTGTCACGATATCGCACCAGTTTCTTCGGCTCGTACTTCGGCGCCACTGGATGATGCTCCCGAAGATCGGAACATTTGTCAACATAACTGTACCTGAAATAAATTTTTTTTATCTTAAATTAGAGATAGTTAGTAGATTTAAGATTAGATTAAAATGAAAGTAAGTTAATAAATTAATAATAGTGATTCGAATGGAATATTACAGAAGCTACATTTGAATGCGTTATAATAAATGTGTAATACAGAACATACGTATGATTTTAGATCTCCAAATAAATATACACACGCAATCATAAAGAAGTTTTAAAAATAAATTCATGATGGGACATTTTGTTTGATTGGAAATTTAGAATAGTTAAATTGTAGCCTGTTCATTTTTTATGATTTTTTTTTAAATTATTTTCTGATCAATACTTAACGTTTATTGTTTAGTATTGATCATGACTGTTACACATAATCTCAGCTTTTATTTTGTTTTTGTTTTAGAGGTTTTATAACTTCTTATATTTTCTAGAATTTTCATAAAAATAATATATTAGGTGCGCAACTATGTTCTCGCTGTTTGTCAGTATATTTGGCTCTAGCAGTAAGGGTTGGTCGATTCTGACAAATCCAAAACGTCATGAACCAAGCTTAGACATATGGTAAACAAACTGCAGAGACACATAAGTGATTTCGTTTTTGCATTATATACTTCTGGTTAAGTGAAAATGCATAATTTCATGCCAAACACTCGTCATTTGCGGGAAGTGTTGATTTTCTTCTTCCATTCGAAAAAAATGGCAGCTCAAGTGCATCGAGAAATGCTACGGAAATGCTGCTTTGAGCGAAACAACATGCCGTGATGCCGATGCCGTGAATTTCGTCGCTTCAAAGACGGTGATTTTGATGTTGACGACCGCCCTCGTGAAGGAAGGCCCAAAACCTTCAAAGACACTAAATTGAAGGCCTTGCTCGAAGAGGATTTGTGCCAAGCTCAAGAAAAGCTTGCTTCAGAATTAGGTGTTACCCATCAAGCTATTTCCAAGCGATTGCATGCGTTGGGGATGATTTAGAAGCAAGAAACTTGAGTTCCTTATGAGTTAAAGCCAAGAGACGTCGAGCGTCGTTTTTTCGCCAGTGAACAACTGCTGCAACGGCAAAAAAGGAAAGGTTTCTTTATCGCATCGTGACAGGTGATGGAAAAAGAATATATTACAGCAATTCAAAGAGGGGAAAATCTCGGCTTAACCAAATATTTACTGCGAGGGTTTACTTTGCATATGGTGGGACCAGGTCCGTGTTGAAACCGAGCGAAATCATCACTGGAGAACTGTATCGAATTCAATTGATGCAATTTAGCCGAGCACTGTTATGTTTTCATAAAAAAATCCGATTTGCTAATTTTATGTTTTCTCGACGTTTTAAGCCAGTATGTGTGTGCGTGTGTGTGCGCGTGTATGTGAACAGATTTTTTGTCGTAAATCGACGTTTTCTCAAAAACGGTTCGACCGATTTCAAAAATTTAAAAGCCATTCGATGTATTTCGATGAGGACTATCGTTTCTTTGTGCGACGATCGTCCAAGCCGTTTCTTTATAAATAGCAAAAAAGTGAAAAAAATTTCGTCCACGTTTTAGCCCATTGTATAAATTTTTGCATATATTATATTTATGATTTATCCCATTGTATAAATCTTTGTGATTTCATTCTTTTTGCGGATGACACCAGCGTTATCATCAAGGCCAAATCTCTCAATGAATTACAACATAAATTAAGCGTGGTTATGTCAGAAATAACGAAATGGTTTTGTGAAAATAATCTAGTCCTCAATAATGATAAGACCCAAATCATATCTTTTTGTATAAAAACTCGTTTATCCAATAATATTACTTCTTTAACCATCAATAATTCAGAATATAATTTTTCGCAAGTATCAAAGTTTCTTGGTATCCATATTAATAATAATTTAAAGTGGTCTGATCATCTCTCTATTTCACTATCACCAACTTTATCTAGAACATGTTTCATGTTGAGCACCATAAAACCCAAACTCGGTTTAAATTGCTTACTTTCAGTTTATTATAGCAACTTTTATTCTCAAGTTTCATACGGCATTCAATTCTGGGGGTTTTTCATCGGAACTAATTAAATTAGTATTGGTTATATTCGAAAACTAATTACAAATCTTCTTTCTTCTAAATATAAATAAAGGCTAGACCTATAATCTATACTAAAATCTAGGGTCTCAAGTACGAAATTAAAAGAACTTTCGAAGAAAATATATACCTTTCTATAATTCGATTTTTTAATTCGGAGTCATCAATAGAAGCATGACAGTGCCTGTTGGTAGTCAGAGCAATTGGAACACTTCTTAGACTTTGTCCAGTTTCTTGACGATGCAATAAAATTTGCGTAGCTCTGTCTAAATCTCCACACGCGACAGTTATGCAATGCCGGACCTATAAAGTTAATATTTTTGCAACTGTTTAGAACTAATATTTAAAAAATATCAATTATACATTTTTTAGTTATTAATTTAGAATAAATTGTCACGTTATTTGTCCACGATGGACGCCTAAAATACAGACTTTAAATTTCATTTGTTCACCTTGTGCATTTAGATTCAACTTAGATGGCAAGCTATATTAAAAATCTCAATTTATAGCCGAAATATAATTATATTATATTACTGAAAATTTCAATTATTTTTGGACACTTCCACGAGAAATTATAAAATATAATTAGTTTGATCTCTGTCTGAACTGAAGACCAATAAAGCTATGCTATAGGCATGTTACAGCAGAATTGTCCCATAAATGTATTTGATTGAATATCATTCTTATTATATTCATATATTGATCAGCGTTATATTACATAATACAAATCTGGCAAAATAACAAAGTTTGTCAATTTTCTAAGAACAACATGAAACATAAATAAACAAAGCTCATAAAATAGGTTCAAGAAATTAATATTGATTTATAGTAATACAAAAGCGCTGTTTTTTTATTTATTGCTTTATTGACTTTGTTTAAGAGTAGTATTTACAATATACTTCTATACAACACATTTCCCACTATGACTACATAACATCTATACAGGTGGTTTCACAATTTTATAATAATTTTAATTTTGTCTTTGTTAACGCCACACTACTCCCAACCCTGGTCTAATTATATATTTTATTACCTTCATACAGGATAGCTATAATAAATCCTCATCCCTTATTATATAATTTAGAACTATTAAATAATCCCTCTCATTGTCATGCATTCTGTCCCTAAATCTATCATCATACCATTAATCCATTTTTCTAAGAATCTTTAATCACCTGTTCCTGATTGAATTCCACGTACTATGGAATCACCGGTTAATACCTGATTGGTCAAAAATGTAACGGGATGTCGCTTGAACCCACAAAAACGAACCAATCAGAAAAATCATATAAAATTGTAAAATCAATATAATTTAGTCTTAAATCAACATTCAAAGCAATAACATCTCAAATTTCATAAAACAAACTTCAGTACTAATTCAAACTTTAACTAAGTAACCTCATCTATAAGTCTTAATATTTTATTCAAATATACAATAATTAAACATTTATTATTAACTTTTAATCGGTCTGATATAGCTACTATTTAAATATATCTGGTCCTTCGACAATATAAATAAAGTGCAAGTGTATTTAATATAGTTCGGCAGTATCTCGGAGGATCACAAACTTCTATACATTTTTTGCAATCTATCTTTAAACAATTGTTCCCGGCCAAAAAGTGAACAATCTTATTGCATTTAATATAGGTATATAAGGCACCATATATTCTTTTACCAGACAACAATATTATAAAATTAGTTGGAAGGGAGATTTTTTGCCTTATTATCTTCTCATAGTCCTTGTCTACCTTTTTCTCATCCTTTACGTTCAATGATGGCGTGCTCTGCATCCGCCATAATCGCTCGACGCAAGCAATAGCAATTCTACTCAGGTGTAACGTAGCGCATGTATGGTTACATCTTAGCCTGCATATTGTAGAAAAGAACGACCAACATTCAGTAAACCTGTCATATTAATTTTTATAAAATCGTGAGTTTTCTGAAAATAGTTTGTACTAAAGTAGTGAATCTGATAGAATCTATCAAGATGTCTATAATGAAGTGAATTCTAGGTGGAATGTGAAATACTTCAATTCTGGCGGAAATGACGCTCATTAAACCACATGATTTAAAAGAAAAAAACTTCGTATATGCTTCTTATTTGTATGATAGCTCACTCATTTTACACGCAAAAAACTTGTAACAGACATAAAACAAACTATAAAAGACATTTTTTTCTTATAATTAGTTCTTCTATCGATTTCCGACGTTATTTTGAAAAAATGTAATTACACAAATGAGAAGGGGTGTCATCCCCCCGGAGGGTGATGGCGCAACACGTATTGTTTTCACTTTTGAACTTGAGGGTAATATGAACCTAATCCCAAAATTTCATTCAATTCGGAGCACAGTAAAAAAATTCAGAGGTTATACCCTTTTTTCCTCTCCGTTTACTGCACTATATCATGATTTGATATGAATCACTTCTTAGATTTTAGGATAATTCATCCTCTGCAGAGATGCCTGTATTTATTGCGTCTTTGGCGCCACTATACACTGCCTCGTTGACGGCTATGCCCACATGACTTTTCACTCACATAAAATATATTTAATATAAATTATTGTGTCGCCAGTATGGACTATTTTGTATATTGCTGGTGTGTTCGACTTTTTTTATCACTTCCATGTTGTTATATTTTAGTCTATCTGTGATAAATTATATGCCAACAAATTTTTCCTTAGATGGAGAGAATATATATTTCTTCAACATGCAAAGCCCATATATTGGCGATGATAATATGACGTCCAAGCAAGATCTTGGCTTTATTCTGAAGGATATTCTATGTTTGCTTGCATCGCCATAAATGAAGCAGCAATAATCTATTTCGGATGTTATGAGCTGTTTGTGAACTCTTATGGAGACTTCCACGTCCGATTTAACACTCTTAAGATGTTCAATGTATTTTCGCATTTTCTCGATAGGTTCTTGATATGAGCTGCCCATCGCAGTTCATTATCAACAATCAATCCAAGGCATTTTGTGATTGGTTATATTTTCAGTGTATAATTATCTAATCTAATATCATTGAACGAAACCAGATGTCTTTGCTTGAAAAAAAAGTTACAGTACTTTTATTATCAGAAATAGAAAAACCCAATGCAGAACTCCAATTTCCAGTGTAAAGCAAGGTTCCAGTTATACTTATTTATTTATGGTTGGCCCATTTTACCCCAACCGCATGTCAGCTTTGATAGAGATTATATACAAGATCTGTTGAAACTAAACTACACTCGAGCGTCGACAACGTGTCGACATATCTTCCTTGGTTTTTTATGCGGCTGTCGATACACAGTCGACAGAGACACATTTACTTTAAATCTGTTCCCAATTTAGTGGCATAACAGAACCAACTAGTTAGTGGTTTATATGCTCAGAATAAGGATCGGTGGGGTGGACACACATACAGTGGCATAACTATAAGGTGGCGTGGGTGGCAAAATGCCACGGGCCCCGACCTAAGGGGTCCCGGCCCAGGAAACCGAGACTCGGAAATACCTTTTTACATGGTACATAAATTCTATTTCATTTGAAACTTATATTTTATATTTTTTAAGTTAAGGTCGGAGTTAATTATTCAATCAAGCTTGCATCGAACTTACATTCGGCCGAATATTTAGTTAGTTAAAACCAAAGGAGTCGCCGTCGCACAGCGAAAGTATTGTGTTTTATCTTTTATGCGATAAAGAGCTGCGATGGATCTGCATCGGAAAATCTTTAGTTTATATAATATATCAAGAATGAATTAATGAATTTATTATTGTATATATAATAATTTATACTTTATCGACTTTTAAGATAAAAAACGAACACGTGAAGAGCTCTTTTCTCAACATCAGTAGCGTGCCTTCGCTACTAAATTAAATATTTTTTTAATTTTCAAATTTTTTTTAATATCGAATATTCGAATCGTATAAATAATTTTAACTTTGCGGTTCAGTTTATGCAATTCTTAGAAATAATTTTCAGGCATATTTAAACGTCATCGTCCAATTTATAAACACTTTTATTTTGTATATAAATTCGAATGTAAAAGTTACAATATTTGTAATAATATATTTGAAAGCATTCAATATTATTCGAATATTTCATTACAATACGGGAAGTTCCTGCAATTTGCCATAAGGCACAATACACCACTAGTTTTAAGAATTTAATTAATATAGTAAAACTAATAATGTCTAAAAATGTCAAACTCCATGAGTTTATACATATAACTATAAAATAAATATTTTTGCATTCAGAATTTCCGAAGACTCGTTTCGGGCGCATCGCGCACTGCTTTGCGCTCGAACCAACTCTATGCAATTGCAGGACTATTAGCGTAACGCGCGGGTGTACTGGCTCCGTTTTTTTCAATTTTTCAATGTGTTCCACAAAATTGATTTCGACAATATTGGCAGTACTCAAAGACAAAACATTAGGCTTTCGAATAACGCTAATTAGAAAGTGGTCTAACTAAACGCATTACCCGAAAACATCAATTGAAAAATTATTTTGTCTTTTTCAGCTAATAATAAACGATTTTTTGGCATCGATTGTTTCATATAGTGTGGTCTGAGTCAATGTGAGTAGAATCACGTAAAAAGTTTTTCGATATCTTCTATGGTTACGCGAAAAAGTGAGTTTGAAAGAAGGGGCTACTTTGGCATATTTTCAATGATATCTCGGCCACAAGATGAGGTACAAAGTTGAAAATTGGTATATCTGTTTTAATCATTTAGACCTATAAAATGGCGCATAAATTATTTAAATAACAGGGTGAGGCCGATTCTGTATGGCAATGCGCCCATACCCTTTGACACTGTTCAATACATGAACATAACTTCAGGATTACCTTCAATTCCTTCATTTAACTTTATAAACTAAACTATTAATATTTGAATAAAATAAACTTTAACAACTTTACAAATGTTTTTCTCTTACTACACTTTCCACTAGTTCGCTTACTACACTTTCCAACAATACAACAACAATCTGTATATCTTTTCATAATATTTATTTATTTATTCAGTCCATAATAATATCGATAATCTTGAACTGTTACCAAATGTCGTCATAATCCATAATCCACGCGTTATAAACTTTTCCAATCATATTGTTATTTGGTAACATAATATTTCGATATATAAAATAGTATATAATATAGCCTACCGCCTAAGTTGGATACAAATGCGCGCCGCGGTGAACAAATCAAATTTTAAATCTGTACAGTATTTGAGGCGTGCATCGCAGACACTAGTGTTACACTAACTTTATATACGCAGTGATACCCCGTATAACGTACACCTCGCACAATGAACA